CTCCTCATATCACGCCTTCCTTGTCACAATTTTTACCGTGCTTATTTTAATGCGCTCTTTCGAGCGGCATTCATGAAAACTTTTCACACTCTACACTGTCGTTATCACCCCCTTTACCCTTGTCCTGGGAATTTTGACTAGAGTCTGTCATATAATTACGTAATCCTTCCCTGGGTCCTATCAAAATCTCCCTCTTGCCCCGTAGAATCCGTCTGCTATCTTCCTGGTACATGTATTTCACTCGACACCCGCCCCCCCCATCTATGACTTGCTTGTGTGCCAACCCACAAATGTTGTGGTACTGCTGGCTTTGATTAGGTTCAATGTTTAACTACAACGTTTGTAGGTTGGTACAAAAGAGACTAGGGTATGGGAAGTCATAGACTTGGTATTGGAGATAAAAAGAGGATAGAAGGAGTGAAAACTAGAGTTAGTTAGCTAAAATAGTCGTGATTCAAGGATCACGTCTATGATCAAACACGTATATTGCTAGCCAAATAGTTTTAGTCTCCACCGCGTCTTTCCTGTTTCTATCTGTCCATCGCTTCCTACGTCCTAGTCTCTTGTGTGCCAACCCACAAATGTCGCGTTTCTACTTGTTTTGATCAGGCTCACTAAAGACGTCTCCTCTTTGCTTCTCATTGTTCCTTTCTCGTCCCTTGCGATCTCTTTTCCTAAAATTAAGTATATTACCTTGATCCAGTCGTCTTCTTTTTGCTGATCCTTTTGTTGCATGGTCTTCTAGTTTGTTTAGGCAATATGCAAAGTTTTCGCTGATCCTGCCTTCTTCAAGTCTCCTGTTCATTAAATTTCTCTCGGTCAGTATTTCGATGGTCTCTCGGATCTTGCGTTTCCTTGTATCTTCACCACATGCAGCCAACCTTTCGATCGATTTCCAGTCGATTTCGTGCCCCGTTTGTGCAATGTGTTCCTATATTTCCGATCTTTTCGTATCCATGTTCCTTGATTCGTAGGCCGATTTTTCTTCCTGCTTCACCGATATATTTCTGCTCACAGTTGCCGCATTTGATGCGATAAACTCCCGAGCAATCAAGTTTGTCCGTCTTCTCGTGCTGCGTCGGCAGACTGATAAAAAGTTTTTTTTCTCCTATGTTATCACCCTGATATTCCGTTTCCTTCGAAATACTGACCAAGAGAGATCTAATGAACAGAATACTTGAAGAAGGATCAGCAAAATGAAGACGACTGGATCAAGATAATATCCTTAATTTTAGGAAAATAGATCGCAAGGGGACGAGAAAGAACGATCGGAAGCAAAGAGGAGACATCTTCAGTGAGCCTAATAAAAACAAGTAGAAAAAGGACATTTGTGGGTTGGCACACAAGAGACTAGGACATAGGAAGCGATGGACATGGTATTACAGATAGAAACAGGAAAGACGCGGTGGAGACTAAAACTATTTGGCTAACAATAGACGTGTTTGATCATAAATGTGATCCTTGGATCACGATTATTGTTAGCCAAATAGCTCTAGCTTTTACTGTTTTAATTCTCTTTCTAGCTATAATGCCAAGTCTATGACTTGCTATGCTTTAGTCTCTTGTGTGCCAACCCATAAACCTTGTGGTTAAACATTGAACCTAATCAAAGCCAGCAGTACCACAACATTTGTGGGTTGGCACACAAGCGACTAGGGCATGGCAAGTCGTAAACTTGGTATTTGGGATAAAAACAGGATAGATGCGGCGGAGACTAGAGCAAGTTGGCTGACAGTAGGTTTTACAAGAGACGTGGTCCACGTAGCAAAGGCATAACTATGAGACTTTAGCCTCTAATCAATCACCCAGATGCAGGGGATACACGAATTACGCCTCAAATAGCACAGATGAGGCGGGAGCAGGGGTCGAGTGAAATACATGTATCAGGGAGATAGCAGACTGATTCCACGGGGCAGGAAGGAGACTTTGATAGAACTCAGGGAAGAACTATGTAACAATATGATAGACTCTGGTCAACATTCCCAGTACAAGGGTGAAGAGGGTGATAATGACAGCATGGAGTGTGAAGGGTTTTCATGAATGCCGATCGAAGGAACACACCACACTACATTAAAAATAAGCACGCTAAAAATTGTGACATGGAAGGCATGATAGGAGATAGGAAATGTGAATAGCCCAGGGCAGAAGGGGAGATACCACAACTGTTTAGCACACGTTTGGTCAAAGGATGGGCTTCATTTGTCTCTTTGACGAGTTGTAATATGGTGCTACGAATGGCGAGACTCACTGACGATGCCGGCGAAACGTCTGGGAATGTACCACGTCCACGGTCTTTCTCTGGAAATGATGATGCATACAATAGACTCCGGACTAGGCTCATTCCTCTAAGTCTTCCCAAAAATATGACAAAGTTGCGAAGACAAGGTCAAACAACTTCTATACAACGAAAGGAGACTGCGACAACACAAAAGGTCACATCATCTTGGTCTTAATACCTTAAAAATTAAAAACTGATTTTCGTTTTATAAGCACGTTTTCGAGACTACCAGATTAACTACAAGTCTTATTATCGCCTCAAATGAAATAAGGTGAATAAATCCCATTAAACCGCTAGCTGGCCTTCATTGAAATTCACATATGTTCTGTGGCCCAAGGGCACTCAATGCAATGTAGCATAGTGGTTAACTTTTCGAGCTTACACGCTGCATTGTCATGCTTAGATTCTCGCTTGGGGTCTGATAAGACCTATGAGGTCTAAACTGCAGTCTACCCTGGATGAGAGCATCTTTTTGGAAAACATGGCTATGTGAAATTCAATGGAAACGTCAGCTCTATTCATATAATTGTGCAAAAAATTCAACTTCCAGTCTTTCACCATCTTAAAAGGAATAGTGTGAATGCATCTCATATAATTAATTTAGTGGTAGTCTTTAAATCCTACTCATAAACGAAAAATAAATAGAAATTATTTTAAATGTCCATATAGTTTAGACAAATACAAGCGAATAAATACAGGGATCTTATATATTGAGTATTCCGAAACTAAGGTTAAAATCCAATGAGATAGTTTATTAGGGCCAAACGTATAAGAAAAAATATAAATGAGAAAACCAAGACAAACCCGAGAGGATTCACGATACGATAAACGACGCGACTGAGGAGTTATTGTTC